ATATTCTGTTCTCAGATTAAAAACATGGTACCATGGCAGAGGGCATCTGGGTGTTGACAATATGTCGACTCATAAATCTCACTGCTCCAGTCTAGACTGGTACCTCTCAGGGCTGATACACAAATGCCACTCTGGAATTCCTCCCAACCATGCTCCTGGGAGTTCCCTTTGTCTCCCTGCTGTTGCTCGTATCCCATGTTGTTGTCTTTCTTGGTTTATACTCTTTATGTTTTTGTATTTAACAACTTTTTATGACTTTGGGATATTGAGTTATAGTTAAAAAGATATTCCCACTGCAAGGTTATAAAGGAATTTCCTCATATTTTATTCTAGTACATGTATGATTCATTTTTAGGTTTAAACCCTTGATCCATTTGAAATTTACCCTATTCCTGGGATATTTCCTTTTTTCTCATATATCTATACTATAGATATCTGAATTGTATAGTATACTTTCCCCACACCCTAATTATACTAATTTTTCATATGTATTTGGGTCTTTTCCTGAAATTCTCTTTGGTTCTTTCTTCTAACTGTTTGGGTATCAGGATGACACTTTAAATTATTAATACAAGGGTTTAATGAATTTTAATAAATTTAATAGGACCAGTCACCCCTCTACCCTTCCCCCACCAGAGCTTTCATTGCTGTTCTTGTTTACTTTCCCCTATCTAGTTCAGAATCAATCTCTCCCTTCACCTCCCTTAAAAAAACCAAAAAAACAAACTTGATATTTTTACTGGGATTATGTTAAATTTATAAATTTGGGGGGAAGATTGAAATGTATGTAATGCCAGGAACTATCAAAGAACATGGTATGTCTTTCCATTTGACAAGTTTTCTTTTGTGTCTTTGAGTAATGTTTTAAAGTTTTCCTCATTTAGATCTTAAATATTTAAGTTTGTTCTTAGGTATTTTCTTTTTAGTTACTCTTGTAAATGGTATATTTTTGGCCAGGCCAGATGGCTCATGCCTGTAATCCTAGCACTCTGGGAGGCCAAGGCAGGATTGCTTGAGCTCAGGAGTTTGAGACCAGCCTAAACATGAGTAAGATCCTGTCTCTACTAAAGATAGAAAAATTTTCTGGACATAGTGACTCAGCCCTTTAGTCCCAGCTAATCGGGAGGCTGAGGCAGGAGGATCCATTTGAGCCCAGGAATTTGAGGCTAAGTGAGCTATGACAATGCCATTGCACTCTACCCAGGACTAAAGAGTGAGACTCTGTCTCAAAAAAAAAAAAAAAAAAGAAATTAAACCCTTATTCTCACTACCCTTATCTTAAAGATATATCATTTTAATACATTGTTAGATAGGATTATTATTTTTTTTATTTCAGCAAATTATGGGTGTACAGATGTTTAGGTAGATAGGATTATTTTAAAGGCAGAGTATCTCAGCTGACTTAAACTGTACATTATTTGCATTCTTATTTTTGAGAGAAGTTTAAGATAAAGATTTGAAATAGTTGAATCTTGATACTGCTAATTGATTAATGTGCTACAGTTGTTAGCAGCTCCCCAGCTAAAGTGTTTTTCTTTTAACCTAAATGGTTCAAAGCCCAACACCTAACAATGAGAGGTTGTATGTGAATCTAAACTCATTTGTTTTATTCAACTGGATGAATTACCTATTAATTAAAACTCTTAAACTATTTAGAGCAGAGAATATAAATTCATGGTTAGAAAACAATAAAAAAGACCAATATTTAAAATTTAATAATAAACAATTTCATTGCTTATACTCTTTTAGAGTGTGATATCGGAGCTTTTTAGCTTTTTTGAAAGAGTATTTCACATTTCAGAATATAGCAATGGCTCATTAAATCATGTAAAAATCATGTCTGAATTAGTAAAATGTTTAAGTGTAGAATAAATTTACAGACTTCTAGGTTGAGTTAGAGATCTTTATCTTTAGTTGATCGAGAAGGTTATTCATAGTTATATGAAATATTTAAAGGTGAACATTGGTATTTATTGGAATTTTCTATTTAAGTCCATTAAATATTTCTTCCACATGGAATTTATACCATTCTAATTCACTTATTTTGTTCAATAAATTGTTTTTTTCAAGGTATAAGAATCAACTTTAGATAATGTCTGAATTATATCAAGTTTCAAACCGAGTCTGAATTGGAGGTTATTTCAATATTTAATAGCTTCTGGGAGACATTTTTTGGTTTTTGATTTCCTTAGCATGTATTTCGGAACAGTGTGATGTGGTATGACTTGTTTACTTTTACACTCTACTTTGTAAATATTTAAGTGTTTTGAATCTTGCATTAACTTTCAAAATATACTTGAAGAGAATAGTGAGCAGTTATAGGAAATATAATGTGTTAATCATAGGCCAGTTAATAAACAAAACTCGGTTTCACAATTGGGGTATTAAAAACTTACGAAACATATATCATACACAGAAGAACATACATTAATATATACACAGTAAAGCATAATGATAAAAATGATTCACCACTACTACTTCTCCCTATTACCACCCCTCAAGTTAAAAAGAGAATATTATTAGTACCTTAGAAGCTACCTGTTCTTTTTTAAACACCTCTTCCTCCTTCATCAGAGGTAACCACTATTTTGACTTTTACATATATCATTTCATTGATTTTTCTCATGTTTTAGAGTTACCTATGTATGTTTAAACAATAAAAAATTAAGTTTTGCAAAACTAGGTAGCAAGCACAGTATTGTCATCAATGGCTGAAGGCTCCTAAAGAAGTTAAGCTGAGAGAGTCTCAGGAACATAGTAACATAGCCTGGCATTGCCTTACCAGAGTTTACAAGAGCTCTTTCTGTGGAAGTCAGTGGGCAAGACCATGAGAGTGTTCTCAGCCAGGCTTGTCAAAGAATCTGACAGAGGTGTAGGAAAGACCAGGCACTAGCTGTCTGGTTTTAAAAGGTTATAGGCTGCTTTGTATTTTTTGCTTCTGAGTTCATCATGTCCTACCTCATAGCCCTCAGGAATAGGTCAAAGCAGAACAATTCTGAGGAGTAGCGTGTGTCCTCTGCTGGTCCAGGCAGCAGCACATGGAGAGGAGAACAAGAACATTAGCAGCTTATTCTCCA